AAACTCCATTAATTATCCGGCTTCCTTTCTTCCCCCCTTTGAATCCCGTAACGAAGTCTAACTAATCCTCAACTTGGGTCAGTGTGCGGGGTGTACGCGGGGCTCCCCACTCCTTCTGTTTTCGCGTTCTTGTACGATCCGTCACCGTCGGAGCGGCGGCGCGAGACGCGGCGGGAAAAGGCCTAATCTCGGACGACGTGAATAGGTTCTCGCACCATGGTTCGCCGCAGCAACTAAGTCAGGTATTCGGTTGGGAAAGCCGACCGAAGCGGGGACGGCGTGCCGAAGAAAGAGGGTGAACCCGGAAAAGGATATCTCTGACTGTGCCGGCGAGTAGGTGTCATTTATAGGACGGTGCCCCGGAACGCGAAGAATTCCGAGTCCGAGCGCCAAATAACGGACGTATGTTTCGCTCGCTCGCACTTGTGTTTAGATCTGTTTCTATTCAAAGACACAAGCGGGCACAGGGACGACGATCTCGTGAACCTAGATTAACAACATGCAGCATGGGGAACACGAAACGTGACTCCAGCGAAATCCACGGCCCCTAGCGGCTAAAACAGAAAACTTTGGAGACGGGTTCGCTCGCCTGCCTTCTTGTGCGAATCAGATATCGACAGCGTCTAACGATCTAAAAACGAAGCCGTGAAACTAGGAACAAAAGCACACGACATGAAAATTGTTTGCCGTCATAGCACTGCGGCGGCGCTGCTGTCGGCACTGCACGTATATGCCAACGCTTGCCGGATTCGGTTTCTGCGCCTGGTATGGGCAAACGCAGGCTTGTTTCTGTAAACAGTGGGTTGGTGTATAGACCATGCCGAACACTGCCTTCTGCGCCCTGCCATTTTAATCTGGTGGCTGGACAGCACGGTCTGATCCCGCGCAGATCTGGGAATTATCAGACGCCATGCCCATATCCCTGGTCCAATGACTCGGCATTTTTCGCCCGAGTGATATGAGCGCTAGGAATCTGTGTAGCCTACCCGAAATGTTACCGCCTGGAATAAATGTGTCAAGTCACTGCGCTGGGGCAGCAAGGGCACAGCACCTGAAGTTCCTATAGAGATAAAAGCTTCCTACAAGTAGTGACATTTTTGAAGCGCCGACTGTGTGACGGTGCAGGTTTTAGGGAGCGAATGGCGGCGCACAGCACAAGTTTGAACTGAATGCCGCCATATTGTTCCAGCGGAATGTGGTTTGTCATTTGTATTGGTTCTCATTACTTGTGAAAATAAGTATCGAGGGACTTTAGGCGCACCTGGTCGTACATCAGAGCACGTTCGACGACCCAGAAGATGAAGACGTGTCAGAGCACAGGAGTTGAATACAGTACTTTGTTTCCTCTCTAGTCCAGACGCAGGCAACGCCACGAGCTGATGGGTGTGACTTGCGCTCTTGAAGCTGTTTGATTTGTAACATTAGCTCGCAGCGTCGGCTGCGTCTGAACTAAAGCTGGAACGAAGTAAGGAGTGATCTGTAAACTTTTCAAGCCATATCACTCAGGGGAAAAAACGCCGAGTCACTAGCATGTGGACGCACATGCGGCGTTAGAAATCCCACGTAAGCGATGTACCGCGCATTCTTCCAACGGGTTCCACTGCCCAGCCCAGACAAAGATGACAAGGCAAAGACCTTTCAGTGTATCAAGTGATCTCCCCAAAGACAAGCTGTCAACATGAGTCGTATCACTCTAAATAATGACTGAGCGTCCACTTTCGCACAGCGCACGTAATGATCAATCACTGTGATCTTCGGAGGAGCTAACCGGGCGATTGACCGGGCGAATAGAAACAGTCCGACTCAAAAACCGCCACCTGCGAAGTGGAAAACGAGAAAGCGAAACGTCGCGACTGTCGTTTGGACGTACGAACTTTCGTTCGTACGCGCTCCGCTGTTCGCCTTTCAATTGAGGCCGATGGTACATATATGAAACAACAGCAAATAGTCCTAACAATATTGCGCAAAAAAAAATTATACCCATGGTACAAAGCCGGACGTGTAGACACCCCGTTAATTCTTGCGGTCCCCTCAATTATACAATGTGGACTACGGTCACCGATGAATTCAGGGCCATATTAAATCAAGTGTGTATAAGACTGCTGCGAAGCAAAACCATAAACACAACTATACTGTGAAACCGAACGTCACAACGCCTCCAAACGCCGATGCTGATTGCTAGTTTCCTCGATGACAGATGTATACTAAGTGGGGAGGGGGAATCGACTAAACATACTAGGGCATGTCGGATGAAATGATCTCAAATTGCTTTATAATGCAGATGAAAATGGGTCAGAAACAGCAATTGACTTATTTAAACGTTCAATGGTCTTCGTTTGTTTTTTCTCATCTAGTATTTGTTTAGTTTGTACTCCTTGACACATTTACCTGAGCATGCAGAACAATTTTACCAACGAGTGATAGACGTTCGTCCTGTAACTGGAGACGCGCATTTCGTTTTAATTTTAATCGACTAACGTTCTCTGGAATGAAGTTCAACATCCCGACAGAGGAACGAGTCGAAAACAACTGTCAGGTCGTCACTCCTTCGTTGACGCGTAATTCATTCGAGATTTTGAAGGGACCCCGGTAGCGGCCGGTCGAATGTATAATAGCTGACAGCCTGACTGCGGCTTACCTTGAATTTATCCGGGAATTTGAGAGTATTTTTTGCAGAGAATGTTTCACGAGTTAAGAACTAGGGTCTCTGGAAAGGTGTGAACGGCATGGCGTCTCCTCTAAACGTACGGCTCCCGGCACGCACATCGTTGCCTTCCCCCGTGCTTGCTCCTATAGCTCACGATAGGCCGAAGCGTCATCGAAAGCTCGCGCTGGAAGCGGGGCATAAGAAACTCCTCCCTGCCGTTTTCACTTTGCCAGTTACGACAAAGGTCGAGAGTTTCGATTCGCCACAAACGACCGTAGAGTTTGTTCCAAATAAATTAACCGCGTGGAATTGATATTGAATATAGGCTATGCAGAGCGCAAGTTCGTCTGCTTCTTTTGTAAGGGTTGTGGTGACGTCAGACCGCCAAGCTCTGATTGGCTCTGACTGAAGGATAGCGGGTAGACCTCAAGGCATGTAGCATTGAGGTCTACCCACTATCCTTCCAATCAAATCCAATCAGAACTCGGCGTCTTTCTGAGGTCACCAATACCCCTGCAAAAGAAGCAGACGACTTGCTCTCCGCATAGCCTAGATTCTATAAGGCATGCACCTCAAATCCAGTTCAACTGAGAAACGCACGAACTTCATGATTTCTTTGTAAAGACTGTCATTTCAAGCTCACGTATAGGTGAGTGGCTCGGTTCAATTTTTTACCCAATGGGACGCTTGGGAGATTGCGGTCTCCTTTCGAGCATTAAAACTTCCAATATGTGTATCGCCGGCACGAAAAGTTGAGCAGCGTATACGAACGGTAAGCCTTGGAACGTTAAAAGTGTTTTTATAGTCGCAAACAACTTCAGAAACGCGGGGCGAGGCGAGTTTCAAGCATCTCATCATCGTCGCGCAGCCAATGAAAATGCAGAATAAGCAGATAAGAAAGTCAAAGAACTTATCACGAAGCGAGAAATGTGAACGCAATAAGCCACGTCCTGTGTTTCTTATATAGCAGCCAGTGACTATATGCGGAGCGCAAGTTCGTCTGCTTCTTGCACATGGGTTGCAATGATGTCAGAACGCCGAGCTCTTACTGGCTGATTGAAAACAAATAGTGGATAGACAACAAGGCATCTAGAGCATTAAGGTCTAGCAACTATCCTTTCAATCAAAGTCAATCAAAGCTCGGCGTCGATCTGACGTCAGCCCAACCCATGCGAAAGAGGCAGACGACTTTCTCTCAGCATACAAGTTTAGAAAGATGTTCACATGACGTCATTAGAGATTAGCGTGCAGGGAACGACCCATCATTTCAGTATCGACAACTTCGTGAACGCAAAACACAGCGATCAACTCTCAGTAAAAGCTTAGAAGAAAAGGGGCAGTCAGCTTCTTGTTCAGTATACACAAACCCAACAGGAACCCGCAACCTGTGCCTGATATCATACCGTCCGCCACGACTGGTCGTAGAACTAAAGCTATACATACTTTGTTTCCCCTTAAGTCCGGACGTACGTTACGAGCTGATGAAACCAGTCACACGTAATAAACAGCGCACCAACAGTTGGTGTTAGTCATGTTTCTGTATACTCGTTCTATCATCGGTGAATCAATCGTGTAGAGGGAAGGTTAAGTGACCTGCGCTTTTGGCAGTGTTCGATTGGTTGCATCACCTCGTAGCGTCGGCTACGTCGAGAATTAAGGTGAAACGAATCATGATAATAATTAGGCAGTCATCAGAGTTCAACAAACATGCAACTCTGATGTAAAGTTGTGGGAAGTTATCCAGGTCACAAATCAAATGGAGGCTTAAGGTATACATCGTTCCAACGCTTATCAACCAGGCGAAGAATGCGGAGTCACTGGGCTGCAGACATATACATGCACGGCGTCTGCTATTTCGCAGAAGGGGAATGTATACTCAGAACGCACTCCACAGTCCAATAGACAAAGATGGTAGAGCGCCGAAGGTGATTATTGGAATAGTCTATAGAAAACCGTTAAGCACGGAGATCTATTGCCCACCTAAAGACGTTCATTCCACACTATTATTTGTTGCTGCTGGATAAACATAAAACCACTTACGGTATTAAAGAGGAAAGCCGGTAAAAGCAGTTGATAAAGCATACTGCTTTGTGATTGAGATCAAGCATTTGACCAGTATGATTGGTGCTGCACAGTGATGTAAACAACTCCCCCCCCTCCCCCCCCCCCCCCCCCCCCCTTCCCGGCCCCAAACACCACTTGCCCAAACCGAGTGCACCCTTTCCAGAAGAATATCTTACGCAAAGTACACAAACCCATGGTATGCACCCCCTCAGATCTACAATCCTGGGGTGACGCAGGCGTCAGGACGTGCCCGGTCTGAAGCGCCAAGAACGCGCCCGTTCGCTCTTACCTCGCCGTGGTGCAGTCCTTGTAGAGCGCATCAAAGTCCTTGCACGAGAGCAGCTTGCAGCGATTCACCCCTGGCTGAATGGCGCCGAGTCCCCGCAGGATCCTGACCTGCTCGACGTTGCACACGATCGGCGTGATGTCCAGCCTCTTCAGCTTCGTGTACACCGTGTGCAGCCCTCCCACCAGGTGCTTGAGGAACAGCTCGAACGCCTGCGGCAGGCACAACAGGTACTCGCCGGCCACGTAGAAGGCGGCCACCTTGGCTCCGCGGTAGTCGATGAGCCTGCAGTCCGTCGCCGACGCGTCCGACGGGATACCAGGCGGAGAAGGCGGCGGCCGCATGGAGCCGTACAGGGCACGTCCGTTGAGACCGTGGAGTCCTGGTACGCCGAAGTGCTTGGGCGGCGGCGGTGGTGGCGGCAACGACGCGCCCAGCGGGCTCTCAGGCGTCGAACGGGTCGGGGTAAGGGACCCTAGTCCGGACTTGGGGCTGGCACGGCTGATGTGATCCGGGGACGAGTGCGCCGGCAACGGCGAGCCGAACGTCAGCGTCGGCGGCGACGGGGTCGCGCTGCTGCTGCCCACCGAACCGGCGTCCATGACCGGTCGGCGAGCAGGACGGACCTCTTACGACGGACGCAGCTCCTCGCCACAGGTGCCGTTTTTTTCCCCTCGTAAAGAACTGGCCGAGGGTCGCTGGATCAGCCTACTGGTCTGGAGTGTTGCAGTGGGCGTTGGACGTTCTCGGGCTTTCACTGACCGTTGAAGACGGTCCACCGGTCGCTCACTGACCACTGCAGACGGTATCGTCTGCTAGCGTAAGACGTACCGTGGTTGGCCAGGGACTGCCACCTTGCCGTTAGCTCTATTTCGGCTGGACCTTCGCTGCTGGCCGGACACGATCACCCCCACACGTTCACGGGACGTTCACAGGACTTTCACGGGACGTTCACGGTCCGGGACGTTCCGGACGGGTCTCACACACTTTGGTCGTACGGCTCCAGAAGTTGTTCTCACTTCGGGACGTTTCCGGGACATTAAACGGACACGGGCGCGCGCACACGTCGTCGGCTCGCCGCGCTGACGGGGCAAGAGCTGCCTTGAATGCAACGTGCCGGCCCGACCGGCACCGAACGGCGGCGATCGGCGAGGGGCACCTCGCGGCCGCGTGGAGGCGTTGGCAACACTGCTGAAACTGGGGGAGAAGGAAAAGCCAACAATAAAAGGAAAATAAAACTGAGGAAGGGGAAGCAGTTCGCTCTTTCTCAACCCCGGTTATCCGGACGCGCCGTTGTCCGGACGGGTATGTGGAGAGGGGGCGGGAACCAATGGAAGCGGACCGGTCGGGCTGCCCTTCCGATGCGGGACGAGACGGTGGGATGGGCCCGGGGCGGGTCGGGCCGGGCCGGGCCAACCCCCCCTCCCCCCTTCCCCCCCACCTCGGTGATGGGACGAGTAAAAAATAAAAGCCGCCGCCGAGAGATGGCGCTGCGGAGAGGTGCGCGCTCCGCGCGGTGCTCTGCAGAGAAAGCACACGGAAGGCGGAAGAATCTAGAGGAAAACGAGCAAAGGTTTTTGTTTTTTCGTTTTTTTTTTGTTTTTTTTTTTACCGTTTCGCTTTTCTGTTTTGAGTCGTGAAAGCAGAATCGCCAAGACGGTGCCGTCGAGACCCGAACGAATAGACGCTTTCACTAAAATGGATCGTGAGGCCGCACTTTCCGAACGCCGCTACAGTGCCACCAAACTTGTACGTAACCCGTTACAAGTAATGTGTTACGTGTACTTAGTGAGATTTCTAAGTTAACAAAATAACCACCTAGTTACTCTTTAAGGAAAGGAACGGGTAACGTATTTTCGTTACATTGCGATGAAGCAATAAGTAACGGGACTTAGTTACTTCTGGAGGCGAACGTGTATAATAGAAGTCAACAACCTAGTTTTTGCCCCATCTCGCGTCTGTAATTTGTAGAAAAAAAACTGTTTACTAGATTACAATTTTCTTTTCTCGCAAATTATGTTAGTATAGCCACTGTTATCACTGAATTAAAGTGTTAAAAAACAAGCAATTATTAACGAGGACAAATATTGAAAGCACTGCTTTATCAATACGAAACATTAAAAGTGACACGTTATTTCAAGCTGAGATAAAGCGTTCCTTTTGAATCGCAGTAACGAGTAACGTTCCTGGTTACTTTTTGAGCGAGTAACGCAAGTAACGGTATTTTGTTAATCTATTTCAGTAACGTGTACATGTTTGCCTGCGACCCACCAAAGATAGAAAATATGGCGTCACGACCCCTCCTCCTCCATTCCGGCTTTTCGCGATGCCAGACGCTTTCAGACTTCGGTGCTGCATGATGTAGTGATTTCCTGGCGTCGAATTTAGAAATAAAATCAATGATAATACCCATACTGAACGCTGAAATTCGGTTTGACACTGAATATATTCAAAACGAATCAGTAAAAGTGTGAAAAAAAAATCCTCAAGTTACGGTAGCTAAAATGTTCCTTTTTCATGTCTGGAGTGAGCTTGCTTGCTAGAGCACAATTTGTACAATTGAGGGCGGTGTTTGGACACCGCAACTCTCAGTTCCGGTTCAATGTTGAGTTGCGAACATGGTTTTCGTCGAGGCCATAACAAAAAAGTCAAGTTCACTTTTTTTACACGTTTCTCAGCTGTTTTGCAACCAACCCCCTGCTGAATATATCACGACCACTCTAGGGGTCGCGACCTACTGTTTGGAAAAAAGCTGTTGTAAGCGGTACGCCAAGGAATTAGATGCTGCTGTAATGCGGAAGGTAGAAGGAAGAACCCGAAGGTCTGGCCCCACACATTTTGTCGAGCAATGGAATATTACTTTTTTTGTTTTGTTTTGTTTTACGGGTTCGAGACCCTCAGAACAATGTCCTTTGAAGCGGCTCACGATTTCCCATCTGGACGTATCCATCAGCGTGTGGCAGTTCGACTATATTATTTGAAAGAGTTAGTTTTGAAGGCCTTTTTAGTGCCAATATGACATGGGATGGCCGGACGAAATACTTACGCAGGTCTATCGAGATACAAATACAAAATACTTTGGCCAAATGTATTTAATTACCTATCCAAGTACACTTTTCGGAAAAGTACTGCAGTACAAGATACAAAGAGAACAAAGAGTATTTTGTCAGCTTCAAACAGCCTTACGTATTCTGTTTGTTTCGTTTGTTTCACATCATAGACATATTTCAAACCCTACGTAAAAACGACCCTGCCAGTGTGAAAAGGGAATCTACAATATGCACCAAAAATCAAGCGCTTAGAACGGAAGTTTCAGCTTTCATGTCCCAAAACTAAAGGCTATTTGGTATATGATGGGCCGATTCAACATCGAGAACTACATTATATTCATTGCGAGATTAATTTCAAATGTATAACAGAAGCAACAGAGCCCTTTCAAACATCATGTTGTTAATGAGACGTCCTTGAAGAAAAAAAATAGCAGCACCCAACAAAAATAATTGAATTCGACAAATTTCGTTCATTCGTTGGTCTTTCTTTCCTTCTTTTTCTTAGATGTTTGCTCTCGCAACCATACCCTCGCAACCTACAGTGCGAAAATGGCATTTGACAGTGAAAAGGAGTGCGAAAATTATATTTGGGCAGTATTTCAAAGAGTGATATTTCGTCTTTAAATACAATCAACAAATACACTCCCTAACCGGTAGTTAAATATAAAAAATGAAAACTACTCAAAGTATTTTAATTACGCATTTGAAATACTTGTAGTTGGAGTACTGCCCATCCCTGAACAGGAACACAAGGGAAAGGGCTTTTCTATTGCCGAATCAACGAGAAGCACATACACGTAGCAATTATTAATTCTTTATACGCCTGCTCTACGTCAATTTGAAAGGCGTTCGCAAACAAGACTACTATCAAATCCAAATTATAATTGAGTTAATGGGTCTAAACACTATTCGTGTATTTTCTTTTTATGGGCGGTACAATGGCAGCTTTCAACGACGCAATATACTTCGCCCTTAATGACGACATGGAGTAACATATTGTCAAAATAAAAATAGATTGTTTTGATACTTTTCTTGGATATTTACACGAAAACACCAACACCCTCTAGTAATTAAATATTTAGTTATTTAAGTAATAGCAATTAATTGGCCTATGTATTTCAACCGACGTTCAGTATTTCCCTCTCTGCAGTCACGTTTTTGTAAAACAAATTCCTAAATTGGACGCTATTGATTATATACACAGCGCGGGTGGCACGATGCAGCATTCGCCTCCTTATTTGCATTTTCAGGGAGTCCGAAGTTTTTTTTTTTTTTTTATTAATATTTTTGCACTGGACCGCACCTCCGATAAAAGCCTCCCAAACGCTTTCACAAGCCTCTCTCGTATATCAGCACTTCCACCTTTTTTTTCTTCCTCTCACCCGTCGCGATGCTTTGTTCTCTCCCCTCTTTCCTTTTCCCCTTTATGGGAGCTGTCCACATGAGGAGTTGGGAAGTCAAATAACATAACAAAAACAGAAAGAAAGAAAAGAACGGCCCGTTCGTTTTGGCTCCATTTGGCATGCCAATCTCGCTACCATTTCGGCTTTCCGATTCGCCGCCCAGCGAGAAAGCGCGCGGAAAAACGTGAACGGACAACTGTCCTCTAGTTTGATATGCGTGCATAAAGAAGGAAACAGCCTAACAATGGCACCCGCTTCCTCCCTCTCTGTCCTTTCTCCCCGTCCACACTTAGTGGATAGTTCACTTTTATTTTGCATCAAAACTGCTTTCTTTTTTTTTCGTAAGGGGGGGGGGGGGTGGATAGATATGGAAATCATTGAACACATCTAAACCGCTTACACTCTACTTTATTGTGACCCTGACTCCAGTATACGGCATTGGTTCTGTCACGTATCTCGTACAGCCCCTCACAGCTTAAAGGCCGACGACCAGGCTCGAGACTCTGCAAGGCAGACGATCCTCCTCACTATGGGGGAGGAGGAAAAAGGCAAAGGTAGACAGGGAACAAGGGGGAGAGGAGAAAGGGAGGAAAAAGTGGAAAGCGCGAACTGGTCATCGGTCTTTAAGACACAGGATGTGGCCTATTTCCTCCAGGTTTCCCGGTTCGTGATTCGCTCTTCGGCATTCTTAAAAATTGACGACACGACTTGAGATTCTGCAAGGCCAAAGACCCTCCTCACCTAGTGAGAGGAGGAAAGAGGCAACGGTGGACATGATAGAAGGGGGAAAAAGGGAGGCCAGGGAAAGTTGGGAAGCGCGAACTGGTCGTACGTCGGTCTTTTTAAGGCCCATTCGGACACTCGCCACCCGTGTGCCTTAAAACCTCTTTACATCTCTTCTGACGAGAGAACGCACTGGCGCCACCTATCGGGCAGCCGCGGAACCCTTGGCAGTCCCGTATATTTTCTTTTTTTCACGCATCAGTCTTTCTTTTTTGTCTCGAAAAACTTTTTTTTTCCACGTTATAAACGACCATTTCTCGTAGGCAGCACGTACATTTGATGTCGCAAACACCGCAAAGCACTCGGCCTATAGTGAAAAGCAGTTGCATGGTCACCGCATCGATGCCGCCAGCGTTCGAGTGTGTT